CCCCAAAACCCCAAAACCCCAAAACCCCAAAACCCCGCAAAAATAATAAAAAATAATAAGATTTCATCCGTCTAAATGAGATTTTTCATTGATGATCTACCTGTGGTTTTCCCATATCCTACGGTATATCCAGAGCAGTACAAGTACATGTGTTCTCTTAAAGAGACTTTGGATGGTGAAGGCCATGCTATCTTGGAGATGCCAACAGGAACGGGGAAGACAGTCTCCTTGTTGTCTTTGATTGTGAGCTATATCCGTGAAAAAATGCCAAATTTTAAGCTAATTTATTGAACCAGAACTGTCGTTGAGATGGAGAAAGTACTTGAAGAACTCAAAGGTCTCATGGATGCTAGGCTTGAAGAAGGCAAGGACTCTGATGATCTCCTCGCACTCTGCCTCAGTACGAGAAGGAATCTGTGAATTCATAAAGAAGTCAAGAAAGAAGTTGAGAGAACAACTGTAGACAGGCTCTGCAGAATCAAGACAGCCGAGTGGGTTAGAAATGATTACGAAATGAGAGGAGGGTTACCAGACATCGAAGATATAGGCAATGACCATGACCTTTGTAGATACTATGAGGGATACATGAAATCCACTGATGATGTGCTACTAAAAACTGGAATTTACACTCTAGAAGACTTAAAAGAGTTTGGAGAGCAAAGAAATATTTGTCCTTATTACCTTGTCAGGCAGTACTTGTATCGTGCGAATATTATTGTGTTCAACTATGCTTATATGATTGACCCAAAAATTTCAGCAGCAGTTTCGAGTGAGCTCAACAAAGATTGAATAGTTGTGTTTGATGAGTGTCATAACATGGACAATGCTTGTATAGAAGGGCTCACCCTCCATATTGACAAAAAGATGCTGCAATTAGCAGTGAAAAATATCGAAAAGTTAAAGACTTTAGTTGATGAGAGTAAGAAGAAAGGGTCAAGAAGACTTCAATCTGAGTATAACCAGTTACTAAAAAGCCTGAGCGAAAGCTCACTCAATGACAAGAAAAAGATTAGAAATGATGTTATAGACTTCAAAAGAGCAGAAGGTAAAACTTTAGAAAGCGTTATGCCAGGAAATATCAGAAAAGCAGACCACTTTCTTGCATTTGTAAGGAGAGTGGTGATGTTTGTCAAAGAGCAACTCACTAAGAATGAGCTGATGATAATTCATCCCTCAAATTTTATGTTCAAGCTACAATTTGAGCAATATTGTGATGAGAGAGGTCTTAAATTTGCACATGATAGACTCAATTCCTTGCTAAATACTTTAGAGATTATCGATGTTGAGGAATACTCTCCACTGAAGTTGATAGTTGACTTTGGATCAATGCTTGCTGAATATGAAGATGGGTTCTCTATTATCATAGACCCTTACCCAGAAGACGACTTAATCCTCGATCCAAAGCTAATATTTTACTGTATGGATGCATCAATTGCGGTTAAGCCGCTATTTGCTAAATACAGGAATGTTATTCTAACCTCAGGAACAATCTCTCCACTGCCTACATATGCAAAATTACTAGACTTTAAGCCTGTAATAATGAGGTCTTTCGGAAACACATTGCCTCGGAATGCTATCTACCCCCTCATCGTCAATAAAGGTACGGATCAGCTTCAAATATCCTCAAAATTTGATGATAGAGATGACTCTGCAATCCTTCGAAACTACGGAGCTCTCCTGTCTGAGCTGTGAGCTACAGTTCCAGATGGAATCGTATGTTTCTTTCCAAGTTATCGCTACATGGAGAACATTATCTGCAAGTGGGACGATATGGGAATAATGCAGAAAATCCTTGAACACAAACTCATCTACGTGGAGACCAAAGATCTAAATAATTCGGTAATCGCACTTGAAAACTTCAGGAAAAGCTGTGATTGAGGGAGAGGAGCCATCTTCCTCTCTATTGCTCGAGGAAAAGTTGCAGAAGGAGTCGATTTCCAAGGACATTATGGAAGATGTGTCGTGGTCATTGGGATTCCCTTCCAATACACCCTCTCAAGGACTCTTAAATGCCGTCTTGAGTTCCTTAAGAAGAAAATGGATATGGACGATTCAGATTTTCTCATCTTTGACGCTATGAGGCAAACTGCCCAGTGAATGGGCAGAGTTATTCGTAACAAACAAGATTATGGACTCATGGTCTTCGCTGATAAGAGATATGCTAGAAAGGACAAAATTTCTAAACTTCCTCAATGGATTCAGGATAAAATTGAGAAGAAAAATACGGGAATTTCAACAGATATGGGTGTCCAAATCGCTAAAAGCTTCTTTAAGGACATGAGTCAGCCCTTTGAATTCCCAAAAGACCTTCTATACGATAACGAAACCCTTGAGGAGCTTAATCAAAAGCGACAAGAAGAGGCCAAACCTCCTCTTGTAGATCTTGAAGGAGAAAGTGATGATGAAAACATTATTAAAATTTCTTTAGCTGATCTCCCATAAATTCAACTTCTTGCTAATTTTTCGGGGTTTTGGGGTTTTGGGGTTTTGGGGTTTTGGGG